CAGAGCATTGTAGACACAGAATATTTGCAAAATACATACGACTCTGAATGTGACAGACCCGTTGACTAAACTTCTCTCACAAGCAAAACATGATCACACCTTAGTACTCTTTGGGTGTTAATCACATAGTGATGTGAACTAGATTATTGACTTTAGTTAACCCTTTGGGTGTTGGTCACATGACGATGTGAACTATGAGTGTTAATCACATACAGATGTGAATATTGGTGTTAAATAACATGGTGATGTAAACTAGATTATTGACTCTAGTGCAAGTGGGAGACTGAAGGAAATATGCCCTAGAGGCAATAATAAAGTTATTATTTATTTCCTTAATTCATGATAAATGTTTATTATTCATGCTAGAATTGTATTAACCGGAAACTTAGTACATGTGTGAATACATAGAGAAAATATATAGACCCTAGTACGCCTCTACTTGACTAGCTCATTAATCAAAGATGGTTATGTTTCCTAACCATAGACATGTGTCGTCATTTGTGGAACATGATCACATCATTAGGAGAATTATGTGATGGACATGACCCATCCGTTAGCTTAGCATTATGATCATGTCAGTTTCATCGCTACTGCTTTCTTCATGACTTATACAAGTTCCTCAGACTATGAGATTATGCTATTCCCGAATACCGGAGGAACACTTTGTGTGCTACCAAACGTCACAACATAAAAGGGTGATTATAAAGGTGCTCTACAGGTGTCTCCGAAGGTGTTTGTTGGGTTGGCATAGATCGAGATTATGATTTGTCACTCCGTGTATCAGAGAGGTATCTCTGGGCCCTCTCGGTAATGCACATCACTATAAGCCTTGCAAGCAATGTGACTAATGAGTTAGTTGCGGGATGATGCATTACGGAACGAGTAAAGAAACTTGCCGGTAACGAGATTGAACTAGGTATGATGATATCGACGATGGAATCTCGGGCAAGTAACATACCGATGACAAAGGGAATAACATATGTTGTTATGCGGTTTGACCGATAAAGATCTTCGTAGAATATGTAGGAACCAATATGAGCATCCAGGTTCCACTATTGGTTATTGACCAGAGATGTGTCTCGGTCATGTCTACATAGTTCTCGAACCCGTAGGGTCCGCACGCTTAACGTTCGATGATGATTGGTATTAGGAGTTTATGTGATTTGATGTACCAAAGTTTGTTCGATGTCCCCGATGAGATCACGGACGTGACGAGGAGTCTCAAAATGGTCGAGACATAAATTTTCATATATTGAAAGGTTACATTTGGACATCGGAATGGTACCGAGTGGTTCGGGCATTTTTTCGAAGTACCGGGAGGTTACCGGAACTCCCGAGAGAAGTTATGGGCCTTATGGGCCATAAGAGGGAAGCACACCGGCCCACATGGGGCTGGTGCGCCCCCCTTTGGGATGGAGGCCGAATTGGACTTGGGAAGGGGGCGCCACCCCCCTTTCCCCCCTCCGGTAAAAGGAAAAAAAGGGTGAGGCCGAATCCTACTAGGACTGGAGTCCTAGTAGGACTCCCCTCTCCCTGGCGCGCCCCTTGTTGGCCGGCTTCCTCCTCCCCTCCTTTATATACAGGGGCAGGGGGCACCCCAAAGACAATAGACAACACAAGTTGATCTTTTAGCCGTGTGCGATGGCCCCCTCCACAGTTACACACCTCGGGCATATCATCGTAGTGTTTAAGCGAAGCCCTGCGCCGGTAACTTCATCATCACCGTCGCCATGCCGTCGTGCTGACGAAACTCTCCCTCGGCCTCAACCGGATCAAGAGTACGGGGGACGTCATCGAGCTGAACGTGTGCGGAACGCGGAGGTGCCGTACGTTCGGTACTTGGATCGGTTGGATCGCGAAGAAGTTCGACTACATCACCCGTGTTATTGAAACGCTTCTGATTTCGGTCTACGAGGGTACGTGAACACACTCTCCCCTCTCATTGCTATGCATCTTGTAGATAGATCTTGCGTGATCGTAGATTTTTTTTTGAAATTACCGCGTTCTCCAACAAAACTCCACTATCCAATGGCAACTGGATGAGAGGCCTTCATCTGCAGTGTTTTTGGTCCCTTCCAACAAATTCAACTTGTCAACCTATCCGAAGAGCTTGATACAATTTGTTGGAAGACCTCCACTTCCAATACCTACTCTGCCTCCTCGACCTACAATCTACAATTCTTGGCTCCATCAACCGGCCCACCCTGAATAAAATTTGGCACATCAAATCTGAAGGAAAAGTGAGGTCCTTCACTTGGCTATTGGTGCAAAACCGGCTTCCCACCACTGATCAGTTGCGAGCGAGAGGCTGTGATCACGATGTCACTTGCTCTCTTTGTTATAGGCCGCTGGCGGCTCACCTGCTCTGCCATAGCCCTTCCCCTGTTGAAGTCCGTTTTTAAGTTGCACTGCACTCATCAACCCAGTCAAAATGCTGCTGCAAGCTTAAACAACTCGCAGGTCCTCACAGCACAAGGTTGGTGGGCTCATCACAGCTCAAGTTCCAAGCAAGACGCCCAGCAAGCAATGTACTTCGCATGGAATATGTGGAATGAACGCAACCTCCGCATCTTCCAGCACTCTCCCTCAACTCCTGATGAGATCACCTATGACTCTTACAGCAGCACTCTTCAAATTCTTTATCTATAATGCAAAGGCAGAGCACCTGCCATTTTTCCTCAAAAAAGACAAAGCCAAGTGGCTGAAAATTTACACTCAGAGACGGATAAACACAAGGCAAAAAAATATTTGTGGGCTTTCTCATCCTCAGGCCGTCGGTTGATATATGGAGTAGACGACCGCAGGTGACCATGGTTCATGTCAACCACGACCATGGAGGCCTCACCATGAAACTCCTCCTTCCGCAACAGGTAGCACAGAACATCCGGGTCATCAGCGCTGATGATCAGGAACTCGGGAAGACGCCGATGAGGTACACTAGGATGCGCCAAACGGCGCTCCAGGTCGATCACACAATGTGGCTCCCACTCGAACCTGGAGTCACTGCCAGCATGTCACGTTCAAAGTCTAAGTGGTGAGCCGCGTGAGCCGCGAGGGTGAAGGACACATACATGGAGTGGCCGCTGCCCATGTCGAGGCGAACGGTGGTCTTGTTCCTGCTGACGGCCTCATGGGCAGCGCCTAGGTCGCCGTACCAGTGGGTGCGGCCGATGCAATCCAGCATCACCCAGTCGAGGAAGACACGACGGTCTCCCTCCTCCGGCTCCGCTGGCCATGGCGACCGGGATCGGGAATAAAGCAGCCACCATCTCTATAAACCCTAAACCTAGCTAAAAATAAGGCGAGAGACTTAAGTTATACTAGCAGGGCAAGATTATTGGGCCAGGCAAGCAGGTGCAATACAACATCAACTAGCGAGAATCAAATACTGCAATAGAAATTAATCCAACACACGCAGACTATCACACATACGATGCACTTGATAAAATCATGGAACATAAGCAAATGGAGTGACACAACGAAAACTGACAGACACACACACGCACCAAATGTAAGCCAAGGCCATCGCAGGCAGGCTAGCTTTCATAATTCCGTCAGTGGAACAATAACTGAAGCAAGACGAAGTATTCATCATGAAAGTTGAATGACTATTTGTGTCCAGAAATTAGATAAGAGTCGTGCTATACACACGGCAAGTTTTGCACGATCCATAGACGATAATTGAATCCAGCCGGGTATGCATATGACTGAGAAGGGCACTAGCCGCTGGATTTGCACGTCGTGCACCTGTCGGGCACAAGTATCGTGCGGGAAGAAGTTTCGATTAGATAATACCAGCGCGTAGTTACCGAATTAAACGATTAATTCCTGCAGTTACTCTCCACACTTGAGTGTGGTACAGAGTCGGTGAAGTGCACAAAATCGAAGAACCTGCAGCATATAATCCCATTTCTGCATCTCAGCAAGCAGAACGCAGTTCTAGACACCTGTGGAGAAATCATGGGAAACCCGTTAAAGTTATACGGTCTCATAATTTGTGCTTGATTCGAACTGTAGTAAACATTAGTTTCACCACTGGATATTGTGCTGAGAACTCAACCAACAATATTTGGGAGAAAACAGTAACAGAAACAGCAAACGCAAATATGTAACATGCAGTGCGGTGACATACTTTCAGCTTCTAGAGTAATAAAAACAGAGAACGCAAATAGGTAATACCAATGCAATTCTAGACACCTGAGACCAGATTTTTTAGAGGAAAAAGGCTCTCGCCCAGGCCCCATTTCCGCTGCTGAAAACAAAACCAGGTAACAAAGTATACTTTGAACAGCACACAGGAGTAGGCACATGCGCCAGACCAGCAACAAACATGACAGAAACTAGAACTAACAGACCAAAACACATCCTCAGCTTCAAAACAAAAAAAGCCTCACAAGCACTACGCATCGACAGACAAACCTGACAGCAGATGTTTGCAACGTTGATGGCCAATTTGACTCCACGTGAAACATACTAATGGAAGAACCTACATACTACAGCACAGAATCCAAGTCCTGCATCTCCGCAACCAGGATACAATCCTAGACACCTGTGGAGTGCTCAATGTCATTAGTAAAACCAATTTGCCATTTCATTCATGGAGAAGTGATTAGAGTTATACAATCTCTCATTTTTGGCATGATCCAAACAGTAGAGAGGGGGAGAAAACTCGAGCAAATAGAAGAGAAGGTAGCTGGGTGAAGGAGTGATGAAGGGAACAGAAAGCGGCTGAGGAAGGGATGAGGAAGTGAGGCCTGGAGGAAAGATCCAAACGCCAATAAAGAGCGGTAGGAGGCGGCCAGGTTGGAGTGAGCTGAGCTAAGGTTCATGGAGAGTATCTCAAGTCCTCGCTTGGATTCGGGTACTTGAGAAATCATTTTAAAGAGGATAGCAATATGTTTGTTCAAAAGAATATTTCAGATACCTCAACTTACATACAGAAGACAAGCTTACCTACTCAACCAGTACGTCATAATAACATACTGAACCAGACAGTCATCTTAAGTGTTGTGCAAAAGTTCAGCTCCATTGTGTCCTCCACCACCAATGCTTGTTTCTACAAGCATAAGAAGTCAAACAACCAATGATATTCCAATGGAAAACCAACTAAATACTGGAAGGCATCAAGGAAATATTTAGATGAACTCAAAAGGTGCAATTTGAGAAGAAAAAACAGGTGAGCTTTGATACAGCATTGACAAATCCTACCAATATAAGAAATTGTGCCTATTCAGATTTAGTCTGTCTTCAAATAAATTAAGCCTGAAAAGATGAAATAAGCTCAGTTTATTTAGAAGGGTGGCCACTCGCAGCTCGTATAAGTTATAAAACAAGCAATTGTTTTACAAATTTTAAACCTAGTCATTGTTACAGCAGGAGTCTCATAGAGATGATAAAATAAGCAATTCATTTACAATTTTCTAACCGAGTCATTGTTACAGATTTACAGGTTTTTAGCAAGATAAGCACAGATAAAAATGTTGAATGGTAGAAGCATAAGTCGCTTTAAGCTTCCAAATGCAAGTATTAAGCTAATCTATTTGACATTCTAGTTGGTTCAAGCTAGATTTTCTTTTTTTCTTTTTTTTGCGAGGAGGTTCAAGCTAGATTTTCATGCAGTCATCTTCAACTTCCAACTGTTAAGTTCTAATCTGAAGTCAAAAGTGTACTGGAGATATGAACTAGCACTACCATTATACACTTCTTAGATGCTCCCTCCATTCCAATGAACAGGGCACGCACATATTTCAAAATTCAACTTTGACCATTAATTTAGCCAACAAAATATATGTTATGTTACTTCAAAATTATACAACTGAAAACTTTTTTTGAAAACGAATTGAACGATATAACCTTTGTCACAATAACCTACATTTGGTTGGTTAAATTGATGGCCGAAGTTTCATTTTGAAATTCATGCGCCTTATTCACTGGAATGGAGGGAGTATGTCAATAGGCAGGTAACAATGAAATTCAGTCCAATTATTATGCACAGCATTTGGCAAACTTGGTTGCACAAGCAGAATTGGTGACATAAACTAAACTAGATACCACAAGCAAATATATTTCCAGATCATAACAACAACATGAACACCATTATACACGCATTGGGACAGGACACTACAGTGCAAAATTGCAATATATAGCAGAAATCATCAAGCAGCAAAATAAATTAGTGATATGGCATAAATTAAAAATTGTTAGCTTAAACCTAACGGATGTGAACAACATTTCATCGACTAATTGTCGAAAACAAGCTGATTTCGTTATACCCTCGGTGTCAAGGCATTACGTTACCTCCAGTATAGACACTTTCGAATGGTTGATGGAAATGCCAACTGCTGGCTTCGTACATCTTATTGAATTGCAATGACTCAAGCTGGACCATGAAGTGGCCGGCAACCGTCTGCACCACCACCGCATTATTGTACTCAGCCAAGCCTAGCATCACCGTGGGCTCTTTCTCCTCTGAATTCAGGGAAAGTAGCGTGTCTAGCTCAAAAGTTCTTCCCAGCACCCATGAAGCCTGGCCATCACAATCAATCTTCCTCCTCCACAACTGGACATTGCAGTCAGACTTGAATAGAATACCAGGCCCACCATCCTCTGCCCGCATAACCGTGGATTGGCAACTACCCACATCAAGAATATCTACAGGCCCTGCTATCACGGTTAGGATCCTCTTATTCAAATCAAACTCAAGGATTCTAGAACAGACACCCGTAATCAGATAGTGAAGGGAATCCCCAATCAGCACAGGCACCCCCCTAAAATCGAAGTCAACTGGCACCTCATTTGGAAGCGGAGTCGAGACGAGATTGCCCCATACGCCCGCCTCGGACGAGTAGACGCAGGCGGTGATCACTTGTTTGTCTCTGCCCAACAAGACCACCTGGAAGTGGCGGATGGCCCCGGCGGCGCGAAGCACCGCCCCGCCGATCCCCTGCTTCGTGTCGAACCCCGGGGGAATGTCTAGGCGGTGCTGGTCTCCGGTGACGGGGTCCCACACCAGGACCTTGATCCAATACGGGAGGAACATGAGCAGGAGGCTGTGGCGGCAGTCGAGGAAAGTGATGGGGCCGCGGCCGCCGAGCTGCAAGGAGAAGCGCTCGGCGGGGACACGATTGGGGGCCTCCATGGTGGGTACGAAGGAGACGACCGGACTTTGCTTGTCCCTGATGAAGCAGCCGAGGATGGGAGGGCTGCGGCGGTGGCGGAGGCGGAAGCGGCCGACGAAGCCGGGGTCGGAGACGAGGCGGCGCCAGCGGGTGCAGACGGCGGAGGCGCGCGGTAGGGAGGACGGATCCGGGGAGAGGCGGAGGAGGATCTCGTCGAGCAGGTCGCCGTCCTCCAGCGGCGGCGCCGACGCCGGGCGGGGGCGGAGGCGGCGGTGGCGGCGGAAGCTGGGCGTCATCTCGCTCTTCTCACTTGCTCGTGTGGGTGGGGTGCGGTGGACCCAAGCTGCAGGTGAGATTGAAGCCCAATAGTTTATTTCTTGAGGCCTCCTTTCCTTCGTCATAGGTTAAAAATCCTATCCAGAAATAAGAGATGAATGTTCCTACAAGCTCTCACAGCGATTTGGATTCTGGTCCGTCGGATCTGGTTGCTTGATGGATTTTGGGCCGTCGGATCGACCGCATGGAAGACATCGGCCGTCGGATCTAGGCTGAGCACTATAGGAATGAATAGTTACCCCGTTTCGTGCCACCGCTTGTGAAATTGGGTGGCCGCCGATGGCATTTTCGACATTTCGCCTAGGGGTGTATAAAAGGAGACGGCCCGCGTGGAGATGACCTAGCCGCTCCCAGCCCGCACTCGCGCCCCCTTCCTCGTCCTAGCCGCCCCGCCCGCATTGCCCCGCCCTCTCCTCTCCCTCTCCCTCCCTCAGTCCTCGTCGCCGCCTCGCCCCTCAAACCACGCCACAGTGGACCTCTCTCCTCGTCTCCCTCGTGCCACG